TGAATAAACTTTGTGAACTGAACTTGAGTGGCACCTGATGAGTAATGCCAGAATTTGTAGTAACATTTTAAAGTAGAGCCCTTAAAATCCCACTGAGAGGATTTAACATCAGCTTTACTGTATCAAAAGAACAAATTAGTGCAGTTTTCTAACCAAAATCTGAAGATGAGTATCATTTGGTGTGAAATGCTGAGCCTTTAGAAATGATGTACTGCAGATTAATATCAATTGTAAATGTTTTCATATATTTTGTGGAAGTTTAAGACAATTTTAGACAATCATAAAGACACAGGTCATGGTGCAAGACAGTGTAGATACGGCAACAAAGATGATTTGGGATAATAAACAATTCATGATAAGACCAATTATAACCATTACTAATAGCATTGAGCATTGGAGTGTAGTTAGCCACTGTAACAGGGATCAGCAGATACAGCATCGCTCTATTCATCCAGAGTGGGGACTGGCTGACAGAAGCCATTATCTTCAGAGGGCTCCAGATGTGATTGGCTGGAATCCTGGGTGGGAATTCCTGATTTAAGTCTTTGGATAAGCATCAACGCTCCACTGAACTTAAACTTCTACGCACATCATATTAAACCCAGGCTGTTGGAGAATAAGGATATCAGGATTGCAGTGAAATGTGCAAACATCCGAATACAAGAACTTTTTTTTAAAGATTCATGATAACTCTGGAGTCTCCTGATGTCCAACCCTACCTTCTAGAAATTAGGATCATATATAATGCCAATGTGCAAAAGCAAATAAGTTTTGTCAGAACAATGCCTTTTTTATCAACATAATTAAGAAACTTTGGTATATTCAAAGTAAAAATGTTAATACTGAACGTATCTTCTAAATGTTCACTGATAATGTATTTTATTAATTTTCCGTAGCAATATTTTCTCTTGAAAGACAATATCCACTTGTACGTTTTAAGTTTACAAGTTTTAAAACAACTGTTATTGAAAACAAGTTTTGCTTGCTGTAATCACTCCTGTTCATAATTGCTAGTGCAAGATCAGTTTCTAGTGGGCTTTCAATGTCAGGAGACAAAATCCACAGTCTTCACTATTTGCAAAAATACATTCTGGTTATTTTTCAGTTACAGTCCTTTTAGTACAAAATTCCCTCTTTGTGCATCACTTCACTGTAACTCAACACAGAAAAACTGTCCAGGGAAACACAAAGAGGGACTTTTGTTCCAAAAAGTTGTAACTTTGGAAGAGATGCAGCTGATTTCACTAACACAGACTGCTGAGGCCTCATAGTAGCACCAGATAAACTTTGGTATGTATTTTTGCATAAAATGAGAAAAGGGGATCACCTACATTGGAAGCAGGTTAATAAGGGATCTCTTAGTTGCCGGTAGGAACAGAATGAATGAAGACAAAACTGTGTCAGTGTACATATGGGCACCTGACTACTGTTTTAAGACAAAATGTGAAGCTATTCTTTAAATTTATGGGAAGATCATGGTCAACTGTGACTCGAAAACACACTTGACAGGACAAATTTCCTTTCTGACATGTAAACTAAACCATAGTTTTGGTAAGAGTTAGCCAAGAAAATGCTCCCTTTTATAGAAATGATTTCACATGAAGGTGACACTTCATTGTGTCTCTTGAACTTCTCTGAATAAATATTCTCAGATAAACTTTTGATCTACTCATATACTAACTTTCACAAGTGCTTTATATCTTAACTGCATCACCAGCAGCTAGTTTGAAAGCACACAGCCTCATAGAAAAGCACTGTTTTGCCCTGCAGACATGTCTGTTTGCATACCACATATCCATGGCTCTATTTTGGGCTTGAGGAGATGTGTAGGGGTGCACTGCAGGGCATTTCCATCCAGGGCTACAGGGACTAACTAGAGAAATGCGGATAGGCGACAGATAAATTTCTTACTGCACTGTCTACTTCAGCTAATCCTCTCACTTGTGCATGAATGTGAATCGTGTATGCCTTCCTGACTTGACATGCGATAATACACAAACATTGTGACTTCCTCCTTCGTATAGGCATTGAAATGTTTATCTTTCTCACTCATGATTAAATATACACATCCACAGGCTTATGAAGAAATACATCAGACTTTAGAGACATTAGCATGTAGTCCATGTCATTTACTCTTATTTTATCATGTATGGCAGCATGTGCTTTTCTGTGCAGGCTCACTGGACCCTTAGGAGACGCAGTATGTAGATGTAACAAATAGTAAAAGTGGGAGAAGAGCAGAGAGAAAAAAATAGAGCATTATGATTATGATTCCTGTCACATTGTCCTGGCACAGTCTCAGGCCTCTGAGTGAAAGTTGGCTAAATGTCAGCCTATGGAGATGAGACAGAGAGGAGCAAGGCAATGCTGTTTTTGCCCACTTTAAACCATGTTACTGATGTGTTGTTTCTTTATGTGGCTGCCATCAGCAAACCATCAGACTTAAAAAGAGATGCTGGGTTCTCTGTGTGTTTGAGAGTGGGAGAGATGAAAAATATGCTTGTCACATATTTAACAACAGTGATCATTTTGTATTAAAATTAATACTCTATGAATGTGTTGTTTCCTACATTAATATATGTTAGTTATTCCTTGTTCAGAGCCACAAACGTATTATATTCCTATAGAGGCAAACCTGATTGATTTTTGCATTGAATCGTGGACAAATGTGATGCTTTTACACCATCTAGTGCTGAAACTGTGTAGAAAATTTTTAAAAGGCACCTCTTCTCATGAATGTATTTTGTTACTTTGTTATTTCACTTGATTTAGCTTCACTGTACAGAATGATGAATGAGTTAGAAGACTGTTTTATTCTCATTCATCTGTACTCACCTTAAATCACAAAGAGCTCAATTTTGTGACATTGCAACTAGTTTGGAAGCCAATCCTAGTCGAATATGCAACTTACAGAAGTGTTATGTGGAAACCCGAAGCCTCCAATATACATATATACTGATAATAGACCTTTCAGTGAAATAGGAGAGTACAGCAATAAATATTAAAAATAATAGTTTTTCAATGAGACAGATGGAGTGGATGTGATTTTAAGAATGTTTGACAAGGTAAATGTAGACTGTTGTTTTGTGCTGTTTTAGGTATTGTATCGCTAAACAGTGAGTGAAATTGCTCAACAAAAATACAGGGAAATACAAAGAAAATGTTGGTGGGTTACATTTACTTACACACACAGTACCTCTTCCTAATCTAACCTGTGTAAACACTAAATTCATTCAAAAACGGATGTCCTACTTCTGTAACTAGAAGTTGCTGTTGATGTTTAACACCCCCTTACACACCTCTAAGATCACGTTAGTTGACAATTACCTGGAGAACCCATCTTGAGAAGAGGAAGTGAATGTTAATGAATGCCTTTTGTATAAACACATATATTTCTTAGGGCTTAGTACCTGGCCAGCATCCCCACCTTGCAGGGCATGTTGGCAAATCAGTTACACATCTGCATTGTGATTTCTTTAGTTTCTCCTGTTTCAACCTTGCCGGAAGCTCATATTTGGCCACAACCAGTAGAGCTTTGCTTCTCCCATACAATCATTAAGTGGATTAGGTATTAAGTTATTTCTTTTATTCATACATCTGAGGGACAAGTAATACAACATATTACTCAACGTTATTCATTATAGAATACACATTTTTAACAGTTAAATGCAAGAATTCTAAATATCTATATCCTGCAGTAGCTGTGAGATGCACATCATCTGCCAGTTTCTTGGCCGGTTGACATCAATTTTCAAAGGTATTCATATTCATATTGCAAATATTGTCCATCCTTAGTGTTCTTCCTGAACCTTCACACTGACCCACACACACATTCTTGCAAGAAAAGAAATTTCAGAGAAAAAAATAGAGAAAATTTCATAACAGTTATTGAGATGGCGCAGTGGATAAGACATATGCCTTTGGACATATGCCAATGGGGGTTCAAATCCCCATTGTGACACATCCACCATTGTGTCCCTGAGCAAAACACTTAACCCCTAGTTACTCCAGAGGCGTGCAACCTCTGATAAATAGCAATTGCAATGTTTACCATGTTCACCATCTTAGTTTATGGTCACAGTTTGGTTTGGGTTGAAATAAGTACATTATGTGACAAAACTCACGTCTGTAACATCCTGTGGGTGACATGAATTGTCTGTTCCAAATTCCATGGTAGTTTATCCAGTAGTTGTTGAGACATTTGACTCAATATCATGGTGTTGCTAGATTTTTTGCTGATAAAAAACAAGCCCATTATGTGCAATAGGCCTATTTAATATAAAGTAATGTACAGTAGCCTACACAGAGGAAAGAATCAGTTATGATCTTTTAAAAATTGGAAAGATTTTATAACAATAAATTATTTAACGGGGGCACCCCAGTATCTCTCCTGGTAGAGAGCGCACCATGTATCAAGGGTTCGAGTCCAACTCTTGCCTTTTGCTACATGTCATCCCCCCTCTCTCCCCAGCCTTTCCTATCTCTTTTGACTGTGTCTATCAAATAAAAAAGCATAAATTCCACAAGAAAACATTCTTTAAATGATTATATGATGTTGCATTCACAGCTGAACACCTAACTTTTCATAGAGTTTAAATAAAATAAATTTTCTATATCTATATTTTAACAACACACCAGCATTATGTAATTTTTAGTGTCCAAGTTCTTGTATTATAAGTGCCGCTGTGTTTTATGTCTATGAGAAGCCTATGCGTCATTGCTTCCTGAATTATACATTTTTCATTGATTGTGTTAGTGCAGTGCTATGCCGTATAAATTCACACTTTCTAGTAGCATTTCCACACACTCTTTTTCATTGCTAATCATTGACACAATTCATATGGTCATATCATTGTTGGAAGAATCTCCACTTCACCCATTAACTCAAGAGGACATCCTTTTTCAGTTAGGCAATCCAAAGAGGAGGGAGCTTAAAGCTTTAAAAGAGATCAAAAAATTAATTACGCTATTATAGACTTCGACAAAACTTCACAGAGCTGCTGTCACATATTCAGATGGCCAAGATGTTTGTGGATGAGCGGATCTTAACTTTATTTAAAAGGAATGCCCATCACACACTGACCTATTGGAGTGTTTTCTTCAGCTTTGGACTCTGTATTGCTTTCCTTGGACCTACAATTTTGGACTTGCAATGTCAAACAAACTCAACACTTAATCAGATTACCTGGGTGTTCTTTTCCCAGCAGTTCTGCTTGTTGATTGGTAGCTCTGTTGGTGGTGTCTTCAAAAGGACGTAAGTATCATGTGTTATCCCATAGACTCTGCTGTGCAGGTATTTAATGTGCATAAATAATCTGTAAACGATTAACAATCATTATAACTGAATTTGTATTTTTTCTTTCTTAAAGGTTGTTCAGTGCTCTAGCTGCCTTATTTGTCTCTACTCTCATCATCTCTGTAATATTTGCCATCATCCCTCTGTGCAATAATGTTCTCCTGCTTGCCGTCGCCATGGCTGTGTCTGGGTTGGCAATGGGCATTATTGACACCATCGCTAATATTCAGCTGGTAACCATCTATCAGAAAGACTCCGCTGTTTTCTTACAGGTGAAAAAGTCCTAAGAATCTGTTCATCATCTGTTGAAATACTGGCATGATAGCATTCACATCTTATGAATAATTAATAGTCAGATGTATTATAAATTATAACTTAAGCTGATGATACACAGAGCAACTTTTAGAGCAATCGTGAAGGGCAACGTTGCCGTCAGTGGTAATGAGTAAAGATTACTACTGTAATCCCTTTCCCCCACCACTCCGCCACCCGCCCCGCACCGCCGCTATCCGTTCAAAACATAGTCGGACTTGCCACTAGCAAGATTGCCCAGCAACATTGCTCAAAAAGTTGCCCCGTGAATCATCAGCTTTAGAGAGCATAGGGAATGTTTTGTTTGTATTTCTCCACAAACAAGTTATCAAGAATTTTCCACACAGTATGTTCTGTAGGTGTATTTTGTTAAATTAAGCCAATTAGATAATTAAAAAACACAGTAAGTCATGTCTCTGGCCTTTGTCTTCTACATATTTGCAGGCTCTTCATTTCTTCATTGGGTTCGGAGCCCTGGTGAGCCCATTGATTGCAGATCCTTTCCTTTCAGAGACGGGCTGTGGGAATCACACAGGGAATGGGACTGAGACCATGCATCATTTCAGGAACATGCTGAGAAACAGTCCGATTGCAGAGCACAACATAACTCAGAGCCACCTTCCCCATGAGGGAGGGGAAGAGGAGTCCAGTGTGCACTATGCCTTCTGGATCATGGCGCTTATCAATGTAAGACACTGAACAGATGTACAGTAGTGGATGTGCAGGAGAGCGGTTGCTTTTTCATAGCTTCTTAATCTGATATTTCAGTTAACTGTTAAAATTACAAATTGAAAAAAATGAATAGTATTTGTGTACCCTCAGCTTCCCGTGCCCATTGCAGTCCTGTTCCTGATGTATCGGGAGCAGCTGATCCCATGTTGCCCCAGCACCACTCCTCGTCTCCTGGACAAAGATGAATTAGCAATGGAGAACCAGCAGGGGGCCGAGGGCCCGGACGTGGAGCATGAACATGAAGCTGGAGGTAAAGACATGGAAGAAGTGATTTTTATACAGGACCCCTATTTTATGATGAATAATTCATATTTTCCTGGATTTAGATGAAAAAGAAAAATCACAATAAATTCTACAATCTGTCATTTGTGACTCTTCGCTCTGTTACAGGTCATGGGGATATCTTTAGCTGCTGTCAGAATGATAACCTGCGTGGGCTGCCAGTATCCTTCTTTATGATTCATATCCTTGGTGGGATGGTGCTCTTCATGACCGATGGTATTGTGGTGAGTGAGGGGTGCAGATAAATAATATGATGTGCATTTACACATTCCACATAAAACTTTACGAATTTCATACAAAATCTGTTTCACATAAAACACAGAAGGTAAAGTACATGAAGGAACCTGTCTTTTCCTTCCAGGGCGCATATGCCGGCTTTGTATACACCTATGGTGTGGCTCCACCTATGTCACTGCCTCATAAGACAGCAGGTTACCTAGCTAGTATCTTTTGGGCAGCGATCACTGCTGGTCGTCTGTTGTCCATTCTTCTCTCATACCATTTCCAGCCTGTGAGACTGCTTATGTTCAACCTGGTAAGGCCAATAAATCATTTAGTGTGTCATCATATTATAGATAGGACATACACAATGAAACCCAAAGGTCAAACACTCTGATCAACACTAAATTAATAATGCTCTCTTTGTTTTTACAGGCAGGTGCTATAGTTACTGTGTTGATGCTCCTTATTTTCTACACAAGCAGCATCTTTCTGTTTGTCGGGACCTGTTTATGTGGGCTTTTCCTCAGCAGCATATTCCCCTGTATGCTTGCCTATACGGAAGACATCCTTGATTATCGGGGTATAATGAAGTGTTTATACCACAATACTAATAACACAGTAATGGAATCAATGCAAGGAGAGGACATAAACCATACATTTCTTTTTGCAGGATGTGCAACTACAGTCCTGGTGACAAGTGCAGGGATGGGAGAGATGGTAATGCAGGTCCTGGTTGGCTCAGTAAGTCTGATAAGTATCTTCATTATCACAGAAAAATAAAGTGCGTAGAAGTAGAGAACTTGGCTTATAATTGCAAAAACAAGCCCAGTGGATTTTGAAGTTTTAGATTAATGTTCAATAGTTTAATGTTGCTAACTCAACCCCAGATTATCCAGACAAAAGGGAGCTACAGCTTCCTGCTGTGTGGAATGATAATCGCCTGCGCTGGTTTTATCCTCTTCATTGGTCTCCTGCTGTTTCATCAAATGCACAGAAATTACCTCACAGGTATGGTATCAACCAGCACCCTCATACACTACTACTGAAGGTTCATTTTCATTAATTTCACAATCATCATCATCCCCCATTCCAACTCCCTCTGCATCCCAACAGGAACAGCAAAAACGTCAGCCATGGTGCAGGAACCAGCAACCAAGGAGAGCAAAACAGAACAGAAGGAGGAGAAAGAGAGCAGCTGAGAGAGGCAGCAGCTGTGTTTTGTCCTTTACTGGCCACTGTAGGGGAAGTATTACAACAATCTATCATCTAAGACTGTTTTACTAAAGCTAAAGTAAATAGTGTGCTACTGTTGGATGTTGTAGGTCAAACTCTTAGATTGTTTCTCTGTTTTGTAAATCACAAACAGTGTTGACATGTTAAATCATGGACATATTGTGGATTGGTGTTATGTTTTATATTTCATCATGGTTTGACATTCACCATACAAGGTTTATGATTATGATTTCTCTTTAAAATACTTGACTCTTTGTTTTTAAATGTAATCTTTTGTTCCATGTGTTTTTGCATATCTTTTGGCATATGTACATGGACATATATGAACTGTATAATATGTGTATTAAAACAATTAGTCTAATATGGTCAATGACATGGCAAACGAATGTGGATAGATACAACACACCAGCAACAATTCAAATGTTTATTTTCTTTGCTTTGAAAATTACTCTAGAGAACAGCATTAGTTTTACATTGTTATACATCCAATGTGGAAAGAAGGACTTTGTACTCAGAGAAGATGGCTCCTGAGAACTAAGAACAATTGTAAAACAGAGTCATTCAGCCTACAGTTAACCAGTCAATCTAAAACTTGAGCTTTAGGACCAGTTGCAACAAGAGCAGGAACTGTCAAAGACCAGACCAGCAGCACAGTTCTCAAAGTAGGTCTTGCCGTTGTTGCAGTTGTAAAATTGGTTCTTGTTTGTTGGGTCGGGGTACATGCCACTGGCCTTTCCAGCACAGAAACCGCTGTCCATGCCGCTGGTGCCCGAGTCCCCACCTGAGGAGCTGCCTCCACTGGAGCTGCCTCCAGAGCTGCCTCCAGTAGTCGCACTCACTCCTGCGATTGGAGGAAGTGGAGTGGCAGGCGGGGCACAGGCTGAAAAACATCAGAAAATTACTTAATAACATACTTTTTCTGAGAACACTGTGGATTTCACATTGACCATCAATAATAAAATTAAACGTCTTACATGCTTGTTCCAGATTAAGGCCCTTTTTGAGAACATTAATCAGTGGGTATTTTCCCTGGTTACAGAAAGTGCCCAAGTAGTCATCCATGTCAAGGGTCCACACCATGGCACCTCCATAGTTACTCTTTGTCAGCCAGTCAGCCTACAGGCAGCCAGAAGGGGATGTTGTAGAAAGCATTTTGAGGTCAAAAACACACAATACTTTTCCCTCTGTCACATTCTGCTATAGCACAGAAGCAAAATATTCACATTTTATAATACATGAAAAGTCAACAGGTTATGGAGAGTTTCAAACATTTTTAGCATAGATGTTATTTGCAGCAGCCAACAGAGTGGCCTGTCAAATGGTAAAACAAGTATTCTGTTACCTTGATCTGGAAGCTCTTGATGTTGTCATACCCCACCCACTGGTTTCCTTTGTAAGCATACGGCACATCCTGGGCCTGATTCCAAACCTCAGTTGCTCCATCTTTCAAAAAGCCGCAGATCTGTAATTTTTGCAAAGTGATGCATAAATGACAGCCTAGGAACACATTCACTTGTTCATCTGGGGTCTGTAATTCTATGATAAACCAGCCTGATCTGTTATCGAGCATACAGAAGAACATTAACTAACACTGAACATTAACTAACACCATCAGCATTCAAGCTTATTCTTAAATAAGAAAGCATACCTCAAAGTAAGCAAGTTCCCCAGCCTCTTGTGTGTACTTTCCTGGTGTTCCAGCACCAGCAATAGGTGCTCCAACACCATGGTCAGCAGGGTTCCTAAGAGTGAATGTGTTACCATACGTTGGGAAACCAACAAGCAGCTTCTCAGCTGGGGCTCCCAGGCTCTTCCAGTAGCTCATGGCATAGTCCTGGAACAAAGGAATTGGAAATATACATGGCTCTGGAACTAGATAGCTTCTGTGGGTGTTTTAATGTAGTTGCAGATGAAGCTTACTAAACTTACAGAGAAACTGTAGGTGTATTTTTTAGACTAGCCCAATTTTGGTATACGAAAATGTTAATGTGGATGTTCAAGCACTCACCACATTGAAATAGATGTAGCCACCCTGGTCCTCTGGGCCTCTGAACAGGGGACTGCACTCACCAGTCATTGGGTCCCAAGAGCCATGGAAGTCATACGTCATGACATTGATCATATCCAGGGCCCTGGGTGTGGAAAACAAGAAAAGGAGAGGTTACCACAACATGATTAACAAGCTTACATTGATCTTTTAGAGTAAAGGAATGACATTCAGAGTTGTTCTGTTCAAATGTGACAGTCTATGTTGCTGTGGATAAGATAGGACACACCACAAATATTGCTTTAGATGCTTACTGGCCAAGCTTGGGAACTTGATAAGCTGAATCAATGTTGCTCTTTCCAGCCGCCACAGCAGCAGACATCAGAAGACGAGCCTTGTTGCTTTGCTTGGCCTCATTCTCAAATGCAGCTCTCATCTCCTGTTGAATGTCAACAGATATAAAATATTTAGTGTTAACTGAACTCCTGGTTTCATAATCCATGATTTGTAACATGGTCAGTTTGTGAGCTGTTTTGCACTTATACATCTTTTATTCTTTTATTCAACAAGGCACTGTGAAAACCCCAAGGGATTTATTGTGGCCACAAAAATGTGGGAGAAAGCTTGAACAGTTATGCTATCAGGTAAGAAATGATTTTAACAGAAATAAAATAAACTGGACACTGAGCAGAAAACCAGACATAGCAAACTAACCTCCAGGAAAACAGAGAAGTATTGCTTATCCTCAGGAGAGCCTCCTCTGTTGGCTGGATACTCCCAGTCAATGTCAAGTCCATCAAACTCATACTTCCTCAGGAATGAAATGACTGAGTTGATGAAGGTCTGACGGTTGGCAGCACTCAGCACCATTTGTGAAAACCTAATGTGGGAACAGAAATAAATTAATTTAAACGGAAGCTCTCCACTGTTTAGAGTGCTGAGTCTGCAGATATCAGTGGATTATCTCACCCTGTAGAGCCAAAGTTCCATCCTCCAACAGACAGAAGAGTCTTCAGGTTGCCATTCCTGCCATAGAATCAGACAATTTACAGTACACTGCAGTGACAAGTAAAAACAATCCTTTCCTAACTGTGCTCTATTAGTGAAACATTTTTTTATTCTTTATTGGGTTATTTATACAAAACACATTTTTTAGTGACTCACTTGTTCTTAAGGGCATTAAACTGACTGTAAAGCTCCACATCATTCCACTCATAGGTGGCCAGTTGGTTGTTCTTTATGGTGGCAAAGGCATACAGAAGATGGGTACACAGGCATGGGTCGATGTCATTGGGCATAAAAATGGTTGGAGGTGGTCTGTACTGTGCCCAGTTTGTGAAGTAGCATGACAGTATGAAGGATGAGCCTTTGATTCAAAAGAAACCCCTAATTATTTACACACCAACCACATGATACAATGCAATTTGTGACCATAAAAAGAGAAATAAACATGTACATTGTGTCCCATATTCATAGATTGCTTACCAAGCTGCGCATGCAGCAGCAGGGCCAGAGCTGTAAAATAGAAAGTCACATGTTTATCTTTGAGCAAAAGTAAATATAATGGAATAAGTGCTTAAAACTGCACCCTAAAATAGATGCAATATACTGTATATTCAAATCCTGGAAATAGAAATTAGCAGTAGACCATCTGCTCTACATAGAAGAGAGACATTTTTCAAAATACAGCAGCACTGACTTACCCGTCACAAACAGTACTTTGCCCATGACTACCTTGTACAAGGAGGTCATCTATCAGGTGCTTTTATACACAGCCAGTTTGCTCAGACCTAACAAAGACTAAGGGCATCTGCCAAAAAGGTGTTTATTTGCAAAAGATTATTTCAATGAAAATCAAATGTGCTCACTTAAGGAGTAATAAGTGATTACTTATCTCGCTTCCAGACATACTCTCCACAGGCACACTTTCTCCTTGCATGAAGGACTCATAAATACAAACCAAGCATAATCCCAAGCAAAAAAAACCAATGCAGAAAATATGCACAGGGTTTGTTTAAAATGTTACACAAAACACCAAAAAAACATTAAAGAATTTGTCACAAATGTTTGTTATGGATGTAGATAAATGATATTATACCAATTATCTCTGATCTGCCCAAAATTGTAATAAATATTCTTAATGCATATCAGAAAGAATCCTATGTATAAAGTGGCATATCTATGCATGGAAGCACAGGAGAACAATAACAATCTATGATATCAAATATGCCTTTTGTGTCATGCAGTAAATTAACTGCCTCTGTTTGGCAGTGACATAAAACATTAGAAGTCAAGTCACATAAACAATAGGCAAATAAAATTGCCTTTAAGAAACTACTTAGACTGCAGATATGTGATGATAAATATGTTTGACAACTCTAATCATACTGAAATGAGGGGATCGTGATATGTCATGAAAATGGATTTGCATTGAAATCAAAAGCATTCACATGGTAAATGGAGAACTTATCTAATCATTTAGCTTCCATTATAATGCAGCCTTCTTTATCTTTAACGGTGTGTGCAATATTTGAAGAAAGATATGCTGGTGTCAGCGGAAAACACCTTGGCTGAGCCAAAGCGTAGCAAAAGTAATGTCATTTGCTTTTCCAAAACAAACCAACAAATCTGCTTTTCAAGGCATGTCTCAAAAATTTGAAAAGACGTCAAACAAGTGTCAAGGGGACTGATAGTGGGATGTTTCATTTACCCAATCATTGTCTTAGTTAAAAGTGAAAAAGTATCCTATTTAAATTTTCACCAAGGTCATTTCATCATCTCGGGAAAGTTAATTTAGTACTTGAGAATTCTTTCCCAGAGGTAAAAAACCTCCTACAAAAGGCTAATCTTTCACATATCATACATGTACTTACATTATACATCTGCTCAGTTTAAAGTAAAGAATGCTAACACTGTGACCTCATTTAATAGTAGTCTGCATATTCACAAACTTAAAATGAGGTTCATAAACTATTCTGTCTTGTTTCTATGTCAGAATTATCAGATCTAACTATACTATGAGTAAGTTTAAGATGTTAAATAAGCCCTTGTTATAAAGGAGGTTTTCAAAAATAAATTTGTGCCTGTGGGTATTGTAACCCTTGTGCTGCTTACTTACACACCACCAGGGCATTTGTCATCAACATAGTTCTGTTTTTTCCTACATTGGTTGACCTCAAACACATTAATGTCATTCCAGCTTCCTCCTAAACTCAGAAAATCTATATTATTATTAATATAAATGATTAACAATGGATAAATATACTGTAAAGTTTACATATTGTAAGAAAAAGTTATGTTTTAAAATATGGTACATGAAGTTCAGAGTGATCCTTCTTGGTAAAGACATGTCAGTCTACCTAACTGTCAGTAAGTGACGGCTCTCTGACATAATCAGCTCAGATTACACAACTACAATATTTTTCACCTTGTGGTATTTCTTTTTGAAATGATTTTCTTTAAAAAATTCTTTAAATCTGTTTGTCTATTTCACAGGTTTTTGGAAATGTCTATTCGATTTGGAGTGAAACCATTTAAAATATTTGTTGGTTTTTCTTTTGGATGCTACAACAAAGCAATTTGTTAGCGGTTATCAACCATACAAAGTCAACTCATGTCTGCAGGACTAAACTGTACCCCAGAAAACAGCCAAGTCAGAAGCTGTGAATGTGATGTGCACATGAAACACCTAAGCACATGAAAAGAAATCTGAAAGCATAATCTTTTATGATAATACATGGCATCAGTTAAATCATTATTAAGTTATTCAAAATGTACAGTGCGCAAAATGTCAAAGAATCAAATTAAATGAATGAAAGCCTGAGGAAATACTCAGATAAATTCAAGGGATGTGAAGCAGCGAGGCAAAAGATAATATTGTTTCTCCCATAGCAAATGATATCTCCAAATTAGATTTTCACAACATTTGACAAAGTCTGATGATGCTGTGCCACATACTGTAGATAATAACGATAGATAGATAGATAGATAGATAGATAGTGCCACCTGCTGTTTAAGTAAATCAACTTACAGTTTTACACAGATTGCACAACATTGCCACATGTGAGAAATACGAGGAAGCCTCTAAATGTTACACACTTTGCTTCTGCTTTACGTAGTTTTTTTCCATTCCCGTCAAGAAAACCTCAGGGATCTTCTTCATTGGTAAGAGCAGCTGTTTAAAGTACTTAACTGTACAATGGCTGAGTAACTTGGAAAAACAACTAACTTATATCACGTGAAATGGTTTTGGCATTTTGCAGCACCACTTCTCTGTCTGTTCTGGCTAACAAAACATGCTGTGGACTCAGCCCAGCTGTCAGCTCCAGGGGTGGTAACAGCCGCATACGGAGGATCTGTGACAGTCTCTTGTCAGTATGACCATCAGTTCAGAGAATACACAAAGTACTGGTGCAAAGGACGGATATATGAGCTGTGTACCATAGTGGTGAAAACACCCAAGAACCGACATAGTGACAGAAGCTCCATTGCAGATGATAAGGAGGCAGGAGTTATCACTGTAACAATGACATCTGTCAGAGAAAGTGATCAGGATATGTACTGGTGTGTCATCGCCACACCTGGAAGGAACGTCTACACTGGTGTCAGACTGCGCGTCTCCCACACAGGTAGCCTACATTTCTATGTTGTTGCTGTCTGTCCTTAATGAATTGCATTGTGTTGCTTTAATATTATGTGGTGAAGCCAAAAGTCATTTAGCAGGAAAACATGTTATTAATCAAGAAATATTGGCCCCATATGATGGCAAAAATGAAAAGTGTATAAAGGTAATAATTAGGAGACCACAGTCAGTATATGTCTTGCGTTTCTACAGTGATAACAACCACACCAGCCAATTCATCCCCACAAGATGAAATACTGTGAGTATATACTGTGATATATATAATATACTATATCTCTAATCCTAGTTTTGTGTTTGTTTTACCTAGTTGGTGGGCAACTCTACGTTGGATCCTTTTTATTTTAATGTTGTGTTGTTTGGTATCAACACATATCATTGTATGGAGGATAAAGACTTCAAGGAAAAGATGGCCCCAACGACAGTTTCAACATCAAAACTCAAACATTTATTAGTGAGCTCTGCAAGACCACCATTTTGAATCATGGGTGAATTATAAACATGTTCATACTGAGGGTACGAAATCATTCCTCCACTGGACACTCATTCAGTGTGTGAATTAAAGTGAAAAATAAACCAAGTGAAAAAGTGGCTTTCAGGCTCTTTTTCCTTAGTATTTAAATGATTAAAACCTCATTAATTTCCGCACCAGGGCCTCAGATAACTTTGGGCCCAACGTTTGAATACCCAATCAGCTTCAAATTAGAACCTCCGGGGAACTGAGGCTCTTGGCTTTCATTTAAGTTATTTGCAGATCGTATATGGATGGCCATAGAGGTTGGTATTCATTTAGCATTTAAGCACCTGTTTCTAGGTCAGTGTTGTACTCCAAAGATCTGAATGCCATGCAGAATGATAAATCCCTTCATGCATAAATGAAGGAGTAACTCTTGTGAAATCCTGCTTTTAAAAGACAAATATGAACAAATTATAAGGTTGAATGCACTGCTCTATTTTTTGTTAATTTAATTAAGGATCACAGAGGTATAGTTTCTTCACAACACACACACACACACACACACACACACACACACACACACACACACACAATCTTTCTTTGAAAGTCCCATAGCTGACACCTACAGCTGAGATGGAGTGTTTCTCTCAATCTTTACAAACTGGTGACTTCCAAAAGCTAAATTATATTCCAATGTTCCCAGTATATGATATTATATTCTGTAAAAGAAGCAGCTGTGATTTGTAACTTGTGTAAATTTCATTAACCTGCTGTTTGTAGTTGGACAATTGTGTCTGTTTTTTTATTGTGTATTAGCCGTACCTACAGAATCCAATGCTATAACCCATTAAATCGGATTTTTGTGAAGCATGTAATGTTCAGTTTATGTGTGTCAGAGAGGTATCAAATTATTTAGTCTGTGGTGGTGCTGTACTGGATTCCATAATTGTTTGTGTTTGTTATTCTGTCATCCTCTTGTATATACAGTACATGAGGACGGACAACATTAGAGACACCTTCAAGGTATTTTTCACAGCAGACATTTTGTGTTGTCATAGTAGGAAAAGCAGTGTTAGTGTTACTAATAACTTTAGTGATGGGTCCATTGTAATCAAGTGTCCCAGTATGCCATGACAGTGTGACTGAACCAGCAAGCACAATAGAACCCTAAAACTCAAGCAGCTAAATGGAATTCAGCCATCATTAATTGTATTATTGTACAACAAAAGAGCATTTTAGTAATATTGTATTCATTTCAGATCTAT